GCAAAAAATCAAAAAGAAATTTATGAAAAAGCGAGACACAAACACTGAAAAACGGAAGCAAAAGCGCAGCCTCAATGATTTCTCAATCCACCTTGTTAGCGTTAATTGCTAAAATTAATAATCGATTACTGTAAATACACACTAAACTCACTTATAAATTTACACCAGCAGAATCAACAAAAAATAACCGTACATAAACAAACAAAGCGCTGCCTATGTACAATTCAGTTGGTTTCTGATCCAAATTTCCCTTTTATTTGTTGCAACATCGAAAATCGATCTATGCGACAGCTTCTTTATTCAAAACGAGCGCAAACAAGAAAAAACGTCTTCTTTTAATAAAACAATGAAAGGAAATTCGAACCTGGGTTTTTGATTGGTCGAAAACTGAATGTAAGCTTGCTAATAAAGGAGCTTGTGAAAATAAATGATTTTTTAAAATTTTTTTAATTTAGAAGGCAAGAGCTGTCTAAAGAGTGAGTTCTCCAATCTTCTTGCATCAATATTGCAATATTAATAAAAAGATCTTACCCTAATTAAATATTCTAGCTAGATAAACTTAATTTACTGAGATTTTTGCATCCCAAATGTTTTTTCTTATGTGGAACTTATTAAAAAAAATGAATTCTAAACGCATACGTGGCTTTGAAAGTTTCTGTTAATATTCGTTATTGCAACTAATTTCGTTGCAATTCGTATCAATGTACAATCAAATTCTAACCAAATTTGTTTGTAGGAGAGTTTAGTGGCAATCCGATAGCATTACAATTCAACTCAAATTTGTAAGGAAGTAGACAGTTTTATAAATATTAATATTACAACGTAAGACTGAAAAATTTTGTAGAGACTTTCCTTTCAATTTTCTCGTCATTCTTAGTAACGTTTAAATACAAAGATAAAAGAGATTTGAATTGTTCCGAAATATTAGTAAGTATAGTAGACTAAAGTATAAGAAATTAAGAGGCTACCCAAAATGTGACCAATTTTAAAGGTCCCTGTAGAATAAGTGTTCATCTTTCTAACTCTTCAATGTATCAATTAGCTTTAGCTCGATTGGATAAGGCCAGATAATAAAAACGATAGTACTGGGGAATTGCCTATTACCTGACCAACTAATTAAGCCTTAATCCCTGATCAGAGTTCATCAGAGTTCACGATTGAACGTTGAGGTTGACTTTATGCTAGTGATATTGAAACAATTAAATAAATACACGGTTTAAATTTGAAAAAGCACGAACAACACCCGAGTATCAACAGTAACACGTGGAAGCGCTTTCCTCCAGATCCCGATTGCTGGCGATGTCGAGACCGCCGGCACCGCTGCCATTGTTGAAGTACTCGGAGGAGACAATCTAAGAGGGGGATTTAAGAAGGATTACACACTGCCTAGCAAATGAAATGGACGAAATAAATGATGGGATATGTTTTACCCATTGGAGATGGTGATTGTTGCTCCACCTCTTAACCCACCTTCTCCACAACATCCTTGAACACATCGCTGACGAACTGATCGCACTTGGCCGAGGTCTCGATGAAGAGGGCTCTGTGCTTCCTGGCGAACTTGCGGCCCTCCTCCCGATCCACCACTCGCTCTTGGTCGATCTTGTTGCCCACCACGATGATGGCTATGTTGGGATTGTCGCTGTAGCTGTCCAGTTCGGCCAGCCAGGCCTCCAGCTTCACGAGGGAGTCCCGGTTGGTGATGTCATACACCAGAATGGCCCCCAAGGCCTTTCTGTAGAAACTGGGCGTCAGACTGCGGAATCTCTCGGCGCCCGCAGTGTCCCAGAGGGCCACCTTGTAGTCGATCCCGTCCACATTCATCACCTTGCTCTTGAAGTCCATGCCAATCGTGACGTCATGGTTCTCGTCGAACTTGTTCTCCACGAAACGGCGGATCAAACTATGGCGAAACGCAAATGATGCAAGCGGCTAGTAATATACGCAGTGGATTTTCTCCATGGACTTGGGACTCCAGGAGACTCTACCCACCTGGACTTCCCCACGCCGCTCTCCCCAATCACCAGCAGCTTGATAGCCCGATCAGCCATTGTCTTTGAGCTCTACTTATTGCTTATCAACACTATTGCTAAACAGATAAAAATGGCCAATTATTTACGTAGAGTATCTATTATCTGTGGGTATGTGGTCGCGGCGTTGCCACCTGGCTGCTTTGTTTACATTCTCACGATAGAAGTGGACCCCTGCGATAATTCTGATTGCTGCCCTGTTAGAACGGAACTTCAAGCTAGTGCTGACACTTTGGCTGCAATCTGGCTATTTTTCAGCACACCCACTAGCTACTATAATACTTGACAAATATGTTTGCTTTTAACTACAAATGCTTATTCGAAATAAAAACAAGAGAAAACGTAATAGTCGATAGCATTTGTAGCCAGCTGCTCAAAACAGTCGGTCTTTTAGCTGTACGTCTTGATTTGGCTAAACTACGTCTGAAAAACCACTAAAAAATTAGTATTTTTGACAAAAATCGGAGTCCCATAAAACCCGATGCACACCCTTATAAAAAATGCAAAAATGGGTCAAAAAATAAATGTTCCTTAAAGTGATGGGGATCGATAGCATTTGTAGCAAGCTGCTCAAAACAGTCGGTCTTTTAGCTGTACGTCTTGATTTGGCTAAACTACGTCTGAAAAACCACTAAAAAATTAGTATTTTTGACAAAAATCGGAGTCCCAAAAACCCGATGTACACCCTTATAAAAAATGCGAAAATGGGTCAAAAAATAAATGTTTCTTAAAGTGATGGGGATCGATTGCATTTGTAGCAAGCTGCTCAAAACAGTCGGTCTTTTAGCTGTACGCCTTGATTGGGCTAAACTACGACTGAAAAAATACTAAAAAATGAGTATTTTTGACAAAAATCGGAGTCCCATAAAACCCGATGTACACCCTTATAAAAATGCGAAAATGGGTCAAAAAATAAAAGTTCCTTAAAGTGATGGGGATCGATAGCATTTGTAACAAGCTGCTCAGAACAGTTGGTTTTTTAGCTGTACGCCTTTATTTGGTTAAACTACGACTGAAAAACCACTAAAAAATTAGTATTTTTGACCAAAACCGGTATCACAAAATAAACCGATGTACCTCCCTATAAAAAATGAGAAAATGGGTCAAAAAATAAATGTTTCTTAAAGTGATGGGGATCGATAGCATTTGTAGCAGGCTGCTCAAAACAGTCGGTCTTTTAGCTGTACGCCTTGATTGGGCTAAACTACGACTGAAAAACACTCAAAAATGAGTATTTTTGACAAAAATCGGAGTCCCATAAAACCCAATGTACACCCTTATAAAAAATGCGAAAATGGGTCAAAAAATAAATGTTCCTTAAAGTGATGGGGATCGATAGCATTTGTAACAAGCTGCTCAGAACAGTTGGTTTTTTAGCTGTACGCCTTTATTTGGTTAAACTACGACTGAAAAACCACTAAAAAATTAGTATTTTTGACCAAAACCGGTATCACAAAATAAACCGATGTACCTCCCTATAAAAAATGAGAAAATGGGTCAAAAAATAAATGTTTCTTAAAGTGATGGGGATCGATTGCATTTGTAGCAAGCTGCTCAAAACAGTCGGTCTTTTAGCTGTACGCCTTGATTGGGCTAAACTACGACTGAAAAAACACTAAAAAATGAGTATTTTTGACAAAAATCGGAGTCCCATAAAACCCGATGTACACCCTTATAAAAATGCGAAAATGGGTCAAAAAATAAATGTTCCTTAAAGTGATGGGGATCGATAGCATTTGTAACAAGCTGCTCAGAACAGTTGGTTTTTTAGCTGTACGCCTTTATTTGGTTAAACTACGACTGAAAAACCACTAAAAAATTAGTATTTTTGACCAAAACCGGTATCACAAAATAAACCGATGTACCTCCCTATAAAAAATGAGAAAATGGGTCAAAAAATAAATGTTTCTTAAAGTGATGGGGGTCGATAGCATTTGTAGCAAGCTGCTCAAAACAGTCGGTCTTTTAGCTGTACGTCTTGATTTGGCTAAACTACGTCTGAAAAACCACTAAAAAATTAGTATTTTTGACAAAAATCGGAGTCCCATAAAACCCGATGTACACCCTTATAAAAAATGCGAATATGGGTCAAAAAATAAATGTTCCTTAAAGTGATGGGGATCGATAGCATTTGTAACAAGCTGCTCAGAACAGTTGGTTTTTTAGCTGTACGCCTTTATTTGGTTAAACTACGACTGAAAAACCACTAAAAAATTAGTATTTTTGACCAAAACCGGTATCACAAAATAAACCGATGTACCTCCCTATAAAAAATGAGAAAATGGGTCAAAAAATAAATGTTTCTTAAAGTGATGGGGATCGATAGCATTTGTAGCAAGCTGCTCAAAACAGTCGGTCTTTTAGCTGTACGCCTTGATTGGGCTAAACTACGACTGAAAAACACTCAAAAATGAGTATTTTTGACAAAAATCGGAGTCCCATAAAACCCAATGTACACCCTTATAAAAAATGAGAAAATGAGTCAAAAAATAAATGTTCGTTAAAGTGATGGGGATCGATTGCATTTGTAACAAGCTGTTCAAAACAGTCGGTCTATATATATACTTAAGCTTTTTGCGCAGCGCAAGTTTATTTCAGCAGGATGTATTTCTCTTGTTTCTCATAAATAGATTTTTTGATAAATAGATAATAGATAAATGTTACACCCTTTTTTAACTATATTTTTGTACTTTTTGTTTTCGTTTATTTTTTAACACTTAAATAACATTAATAAAAAGTCGCAAGAGCAAGCTGCCTCTCAAGTTGAAGTCAAGTTTCACGTGAGACAGCAAATTTGGTGAGCAAATCTTTGACATCAAAATGAATTAGCTACCATTTATTTTTTACTAAGAAATAGAGTTTAAATAAATCTTTAATAATAGAGTGGTATTTTGCTTTATCAGAATTCTTCCCCAAAACGCAGTTATTTCATATATCATAAAAACCACTACTTAGCTATTTTCCCGCCGCTCTCGCCGGAGCGCGAACCGGTTCGATAACAGCGCAGCTGGCGGTTCGCCGCTCGGCTGTGTCACCTCCAACTGGTTCTTTCATCTTTCCATCTTTCTTTTTTGACGTGACCAGCGAGAAAAATGGTTGGTTTTCCGACGGAGTTTAATTTTGTAAAATAAGACCCATCCGTGCACAAAATGACCGGCTGAGCCGTTATACTGGCGGCCCGCTGTTTTTGCCGCGCGGTGGAGCTGCTATTTTCGCGAGGTGTACCCCTGCAAACCGAATTCTAATGATGTGTTTTCTCCCCTTTTGTTTGCGCCGCCCAGGTGAAGGTTAAGTGCTCCGAGCTGAGGACCAAGGACAAGAAGGACCTCACCAAGCAGTTGGATGAGCTGAAGAATGAGCTGCTCAGCCTGCGCGTGGCCAAGGTGACCGGCGGAGCTCCCTCGAAGCTCTCCAAGATGTGAGTATGCCGCTACGTGAGACTGACTAGCATCTCCCCTACACCCCCTTTCTTCTGCGCTCCCACAGCCGCGTTGTACGCAAGGCCATCGCTCGCGTCTACATCGTGATGCACCAGAAGCAGAAGGAGAACCTGCGCAAGGTCTTCAAGAACAAGAAGTACAAGCCCCTGGATCTGCGCAAAAAGAAGACCCGCGCCATCCGCAAGGCCCTCTCGCCCCGGGACGCCAACCGCAAGACCCTCAAGGAGATCCGCAAGCGCTCCGTCTTCCCCCAGCGCAAGTTCGCCGTCAAGGCCTAGAGGCGTCCTCCTTCTGTCTAGTGTGCGTTAAGGGTTCTTCGGTCCATGAAGAAGAAAACAAATAAAACCTTTTTTTTAAAGTGAAAAACCCGAAACAATTTTTTATTTGTGACCGAAATTCGCGAGTGGCTCATGTCTCCTCCGTGGGTTAATCGAACTGAGTTGAAACAAGATCCGTATTCACCAGCGCGCTGTATTGCTTAAAGTTTAATATTAACCAGGTCAAGCGTACCAAAGCCACATGCAAATACATCAGTGATCAATGATGCAGTTATTTTAGTGAATTCAGAAAGACGCGTGTGAGGGTCGCCGTCGAGCAGAAACGTGGATCAAGACAGGGGTTAATTCCATTAGGAGCTGAAGCTTAACAAGAGAACTAGGCCATTCATACGACATTCTGACCTGAAGAGAAGTTAAGTTAAGTAAACTGATTGTTACTGATGCAATAGAAAAGGTGATCCCATATAAAGGCGTTCTAATATTGACATGCTGTGAGGTTCAGATTTTCGAAAAGTTTAATTTCTTTAGATCAACAATATTAATATAATTAACTTATTATGGGAAATAATGTAGATCACAAAAGAAAACTCCGGAAATTGTATATGAAATTCGTCGATAAAATCAAAACTAATGTCATTGTTATTCCACACGATAGTTTAGAGATGTCGTGACCTCGTTGAATTAAATCATAATACTCTTCTGAAAAACAGACCCGCCTTAAACTTTAAATGAAAAACATCGCCTTCTCAATTGGTCTACATATATATATTTAATTCGATTGTCTTTGATGTAAGCACTGCGGTACATCGTTAATAAATTTATAAACTAAAAAGTAGTAAGTAGGTAATTGATATGAACTACAGGCTCTTAAACAAAGACTCGACTGCGATTTCGATTATACTGAATATGTTTGGCACATTTGGTTAATACTATTCTTCTGCACAGCGTGGAAGAGCGGCGTGCTGCGGATTACGCCCGACAGCTCCTTGGAGTTCTTGCTTTGGTGATAGTTTCTACTCGGCATCGGCGACAACGGCTCGCCCCAGAACTTTAGCAGCGCAAAGATCTTGTAGTAGGCCACTCTGAAACGAAAGGAATTCGGAATAAGTAATACATTCCCGATCCAGACCCACAAGCAAACCCCTTATCTTACCTGTAGTTGCGGTTGCTGGCCGCATAGATGATCGGGTTGATGACGCTGGAGGCCCAGGCCATTACCGAGGCGATGATGTGCAGCCAGGGAACCCGGGTGTTGCGCTCGTCGTCCACCACATTGGCCAGCATCAGCGGAAGGAAGCACACGAGGAAGCACAGGAAGATGGTGACCATCATGACGGTCAGTCGGTTGTCTTCGCGCGCCTTTCGCGTGCACGTGGTGGTCATGTAGGATCCGCCGGCGGAGGAGCCTTTTCCCGCAGCACTCGCACCGATTTGGAAGTTGTCGTGGTTGCGGATTTTCTTCTTCTGGTGCAGTACCGTGATGTAGATGCAGGTGTACGAGACGATTATGACCAGGCAGGGCAGCAGGAAGCCGATCACGAACAGCGTTTTCTTGATAGATCGTCCCTCCTTCTTGAGTATTGTGCAGGAGAAGGTGGCTTCGTCCAGACCCATCTCGCCCCAGATGCCCAAAATGGGCGGTAGCTGCGATTGTAAATATATGTATTACTTAAAAATATTCCAAGTTCTTTATGGATTTTAAAATATCCTAAAATTCCCGAGGATCACTGAGTCTGTAGATTTTTTAATCTTCCGTAAATACCATTTTGGAAATCAATTTCAGAAAAGCTATATGGAAAATGTCTATTTCTATATAGGAAATGTGGTTAAAAGGGTAGACTTATCACTTACCAGGAGAAGAAAGGACACGGCCCATACGAACAACAACTGCAGGGTTATGAACTTCGGTTTATATATCTGCGAGTAGCGACTGTGGCAGGCGATGAGTATATATCTACCAGAGGATTATGGTGGCGGTTGAGGATTATCTTGTGACAGAAGGGATTGAACTGTGCTTACCTGTTCAGCGTGATGCCCACCATGCTGAGGAGTGAAACAGCCACATTGCCATAGAAGATCACCGGAAAGATCTTGCACAAAGTGGTGCCAAAGGTCCAGCTCTACAAAAAAAATGTATATGTTAAAATGCAACAAAGGTTAGATCTGTAACTATACAACTTAGAAAAACCGCAGTGGTTCCTCAAATACTATATTTTTCTCCGACATTTTCAAATTCCATTTGGTAGGGATGATGACTCACCTCCTGGAAGTATCGAACCGCCGTCAGCGGCAGGCTAAAGGAGCAGAAGAGCAGGTCGGAGATGCTCAGCGAGATGACGAAGGCGGTGGTGGCGTGTTCCCGTATCGTAGGGCTTTTGAGCAGCGCCAGCAGCGTAATCAGGTTGCCTGCGGGAGCCATCAGCCAAAAACCGGTTAGAAAAGGAGTTCGAGGAGCAGCAGGATGCGGATTACTCACCAAGAACGCCAATTGTCACAAAGACACAGGCACTAATTGCCGCGAACAATGTCGCCGAATGCGGGTAGATTGTGGTCGGGGGAGCACCTGTGACCGTGTTCATGCCCATTCCCATACTAATGTCCGTGTCCATTCTGCAGGGGAAACAAGGAAAAAATAATAACGTTTCATTAGCCATTTTCAACATACTATATTATGAGCAAAGAAAGAAGCTCTATCCGCAAATTCCTACTTATTCTTTGGATGCATATTTTAATCTTATCCATTATTGGACGCATATTGATTTAAATTATTAAGCCCTTATAGTTATGGATTTTAGTTCCCTTGTATATGGTATATTAACTTGTTCAGATGTTTGTTATCCAGTGAAGAAGACGTTTCCGACGGCTTAGCTTAAAAGCTTCAGATTCCCAAAACTGCCATATTCTGGCTTGGGTGCCCCGACGTTTCCAAACTGAAAATTTCGCTTTATTTTTTATTTGGGGCAGGGAAAATACTAAAAGCACAACTACTCTGGCCTGGGTAAACATTATTGCCCATTGGTTTTTACTATTTCCTATAGCTCCCTAGGAACAATCTCTTAGAATATAAAGAATTAATTGATCAAACACTATTCAAAAGTTAACTTTTTTCTGTGCTCGAAAAAGGAAATTCGTATTACCCGCAATGTCAAGTTGCTCCCGCGAGAAAATCTGTGAATGTATGGGGACGTAATATACATACACATAAGCGGGAAAATCAAAAAAGTTATTTAATTGCCGTTTTGCGGATGCAATACTGCCGGCTGCCGAGATCACAGCTTAGGAAAACTCGATTTGATCTGCGGGATTAGCAAGGAAGTCTGCTTACTCCCACCAACTTTTCGCATCCGCGACATTTGATTTATGCGAACTGATTTTGTTATAAGATTTTTGCTGGCCAACTGGTCAACCGTAATGATCGAGCCGGTTTGCACGCGATTTGAATTCACATTTGTACAAATTTTTCATCAAAAGTTCGAGTTTTCCACCAATTTCCTCATCACACGAGCCAGGCAAACGGCTTTGAATAATAGTGTATGATACATATACCAAATTGCTGCTGACTGCGTGATTGATGGCCACAAGATTATTTATTATCGAATCAGGATTCAAAAGGAGATCAATGTCAAATGCAGACAGGAACATGAAAGACGGATGTCATTTGCAGTTTAAAACATCAGCCGGAGTATTTTTGCTTGGCGCAAGTTCTGGTAGCATCGTAAGTTCCTGCTTAACTATTTAAAAACGTAAAGGTTATTTGCATAGATGATATGAGAACGGCTTTTGTACTAGTCAGGTATCTTTCTTATGACTCACTATCATCAGATGGCTGACCAGTTTTTGCTGCTTTCTTTTTAATAAGTATACGTTTTAGCTTTATATTTAAATTTTTGTCACGTAGAACTGTGTTGATTTATATCTTAATAGCCGGAAAACGCAAAGCATCCAATGCTAAAATATCGAGATCAGTTGAATGCGATTGATATTACGGATATTAAATGCTTTTCGAAATTGTTTAGGCCAGAAAAAATCAACGCTGTTGGGAAAAACATAGAAAATAAAAGAAACCCGACTTTACACTACGATCAACGGATGCAATTCAAGCGATTACGGCTCCAATTCGATAACGTTACGGATTGGCTACCCTCGTTTCATTTCTAGTAGAAATTTGGAAATAAATAATTGGTTCGATATGCTGTCAGAAAGATCCCTTATCTTCTTGAGGGTTTGATCTGGGTTTCGAAACGATTCTATTTTGAAATCTCGCTTTTAAAAAGGTCCCTCTCCTTTTGAATTTGTAGTGTCGTTATCTTTGCGAACGGGCGGCTTTATCAGCGACTTTAATGCACTTTTTACGACCAATTAAATTTTAATTTTCCTTTCTTTTCCCGTTGATAAGCGGCGAAAGTGATAGAAAAAAGCGTTGCGACAGAAGTGCAATTAAATGGGTTCCGTTTCGGTTTCAATTTCCCGTTTCCCAGTGAAAAGAACCACCGTCATATGTTGGCGTATTGAATCAATGACAGTTTCAATTAAGCCGGGGTTTGTCGTGATATTTTGTTGGTTTAACCCTGCAGATAACGCGGCCGTGCAACTGTTTTGCATATGCACACAATTTCATTTATTTAATGCTTTTTATTTGGATCGGTTAAATTAAAAAGCGCCTTGTTACGCATTTAACGATGTTTCCGGTGCGTGATGGTACTACGCTTCTGGGAACGGGAACCTCAGGGCCCCAGAAGGGGTACAATGTGGAAACATTGGAAGGTGGATGGGGGATGGTAGGTGGTGCCGGGGGAGCGGTTTGCTTTCATGCATGATCAACATGTGTGTTTGCTTTTCAACTCTGTGTATGTTGTTTCAGTTCTTTGGGTCTCCCCAGTCTTTCGTTCTTATGTTTTCGAATAGGGGGAGCAACAGCCAGCAACTGGAAATCTGAATATGCATCCCATCCAATATAAGCACCATCCCGTCGTTTCACATAATTCCATTTCCATTCCCATATACATATGCGTGCCCGTACAGCGGCGGCGGTTAAAAGAGGTCCAAATAGTTTGTTGTTATATATCAACTTATAAATCATATAACTACAATAAGTGCATCGTTGTTTCAGAGGCTATATTGATTTTACTAATTTTGTGCTGTACTGAACCTACTTATGAAGCACACAACTGAACTTATACTCTCTATTCGACTTAGTAGGACTACAGCTAGAATACTTTGTATCCCGGTCTATTGAGTTTACCGCGAGTGTGGGTGAGCTGCCTCTCAACAGTTGGCAATGATGATGGCATAGATATCAGCGATAACATCCACCCCACTTTGGGATATGCAGATCCCGCACTTTGTCTCCTTCTGGCGCGCTTCCCTTGCAAGTTTACATATTATGTACACACACAGCTAAACACATAAAGGATGTCCATATAGTTTAATCAAAGTCTTATCAGCCTTGGGTTCCCACCGCTCGAAATTCTTCGGAACCCTCCCTCGCCCAAAAATCCAAGACAAGCAGTGGGACGAAGATTAAAAAATAATCAATCAATAAATATGTATTTTGCGGGCGTGAAGGCGAATGCAAATAACGGTCTTCGAAGAATGTGTACCAACGTATGGGAACTGATGAATATTTATAAAGTTGTGAACGCTTTAGTTTTATTTTTTACATGATATCAATCTAAGTCAAGTAATATCTTATCTTAAAATATGTTATATAAAATTGATATTATTATCCTTTGGAAAAGATCGTTTGAAGCGATTTACTATAGGAGTATAGTGTAAAACCACTATATTTTGTTTAGGGCTTTTCTGACATAAGAGGTCCTATCAAAAATATTACTCAATCCTCTTCTCGGTCTCTCATTCTTATCGTGTCAATGTACCAGTGCCGCTTCTGTTGCAGTTCGCTGACTAATCAAAGCTAAATACCAGTGTAATGCCCAAATAAGTTTTCGATATGAGGGGTATACTATATACCCGCTATGCATATGTAGATAGTGCACATATGTATTGGAGTGTTTTGGAGCTGGGTTTTTCATTTTTTGTTGTTTTCAGAGACTTGAGCTGTATGAGTCGCTACCAACTGTTGCGGTGACGGACAAGGGAATTGGATGATTCATGCAGCTGATGTTTCGACAGGGGAAGAGTGAAAGAGAAAACCATCGGAAGCGGCGGAATCAAAAAATCTGTGTAAATAAGAACAAAAGACTTTGGCAGTGGGGCCGGGACATTATTAGAGTCGAAGCATGTCAAAGTACAGAGAAAGTTATTTTGTACTAATAGTACATTTATTTTTAAGTACTTTTAAACTCGATTTCAATATGAAATGACTTGTTCAGTGTTATAATGCAATCCTTGTAAACAAATGATTCAATGCGGAAACATTTGCAGCAGCATTAAGAAAAAAGAAGCAAACTATTACTAAGTGACTGCACCAAAGGAAGCAATCAGGATGCGAGTCTGAAGTGCCTACTTAATTCGCTACTATCCTGAACGCCCTTACGATCAGTTTCTCTCGGTGTATCGCTGTCCCCCTCTCCATCCCCTCTTTGCTGATTTTATTTTTGAGAGGGTGGAATTCTAGATTTGGGATGGCATGTACATATGTATGCAACATTGTGGAAACAGCCGTTCCATTATCGTTCCATTACACTCACACTCTAGCACAAACACAGTGTGCGTGTGGACCAAATGCAACAACAATAGAAACGCGCAACTCAAATTGTTAACAAAAGTAAGGCCGCTCTTGGCCGGATTCTGGTCTTGAAAGAGACTCACCCGAATTCGAACTCGAACCCGTTTCAGCGTTTTATATATTCTTCGTTTCGTGTTTCCTAAATGCCTTTAAATTGCATTTTGTCAAGCGCACAGCGCCCGTTTCGAGTTGGCAAATGGTGATGTTGACATTAAACCGCGCAGCACAGCAAAAAAAATGCAACAACAACGTACTATGTTATATTCTGACTTTGACTTTTCGAGAGAGATGGAGATCTCCGGGCGCAACGCGCGAAATGTCGTATTTTCTTTGGCAATTAACAGCAATAGTACAACGCGTAGTGCTACTCGGCGACGGCGAGCGACTTTACCGATCGAGCAAGAATGAGAAAAAACCATATAAGAGCGGCTTGACAGACCCGAACAAGACTCCGCCGCCCGCCGATGACTGCGGCTATCGCCGTGCTGTTCTATCGATACTCAGCGCCGCGGTGCGCAGGCGCCTATCGATGTTTAAAATTCTCTCGAAATGTCACTTTTGTTCTATTTTCTATCTTAAGTTGGGATTCCTTACTCGATCAGTTTCACCAGCTTAGAGCTAAAACTTCATAGTCGCCAGTTGGTGCTGAACACAGTTTTCGAAGGCCACACGCGTGCGGTTTACTTTGCGGAAACCGTCAGATAAATTGCCAGGTGTACGTATAAATTATGTGCAGGATTATCAAGTGTTGCTTTCGAGTGCCACTTGGTGCCACATTTAGTAGCTGCCGGCGGTTCAAGACGTAAAACATTTGGCTTTCATTTACTGCTTTGGATGGGTAGTTCCTACTTTAAAAATGCACATTTATGCTTATGATTTGGTACTTATCTTTACGCCCATATCCGAGATTAATGATATTTACAACCCGTTAAATTCAATCTACACCTAATCAACTTTCCCAGTGAGCTGCACATTTTTATGACTGGCCAATCATTTATCATTTTTCACTATTAGTGCCAAGTTCATGGCTGATTGAGTGTGTTACCAATTTGCATGTTTGAGCGCCATTGACTTTTATCCGGCTTTTCGTCAAGGTCGCGCTAATTAAATCCTCGTTGTCAGTGATGAGAAAGGCTCTACATACCTACATCGGTTCAAAAATATGTTAGTTTTCTTTCAAACTTGAAATCTTACCCATAGCACTAACAAAATATGGTGCATGCCAAGAAAAAGTTTTAAGAATATGATATTTAAAAGTTAGGTTCTAAAATCTGGGTATTCCTCATCACTGGTCGTTAGCTATAATAGGCTGACTTTTATGCTTTTCCTGCTGCATTTTTGCATTGAGGTTTTCAGTCAGGAATCGAAACTCAAGCATGGTGCGACCACTAAATGACCGCTTTCCACACCGAAGGCGGGCTAATCAAGCTGTACGCCATCTGAAAAGCCAAGGAAGGATCTGGCTGAAACACTTGAAAACAGGATTGGACCAGTGTCGAGGTGCGATCCAATGGGGTCTTGGTCCTGGGTAAATTCCATACATTATTGGCTTTCTTAATCCAGACACCCAGGCGCGGGGAACGCGAAAGAACTTCCTGTGCAACGGCTCCTTCCATGAGGCGGTGTTTCCTGTTCTGGTCGTGGCTCAGTGCTTCTGCCTAATGCCCGTGAGTGGTATCAGTGCTTCCTCCTGCCAAGGATTGAAATTTAGCCGGCGTAGCTGGCGGTTTTGGTACTGTGTCACGTACCTCTGCTCCACTTCGGTGGATCTGGCCTTCAGCATCCGCAAGGTGGCCCACAGTGTTTTGGATGTGCGCAGTGTGGGTGAGACGCATTATCCATTTATCCCTCCCAGTAAATAGTGATTTTCCGATCGAAACTCATCAAAACTGTAGAGCCCATCGTTTTCCACGTGAGCATTCTGATCGCCTCCTGGCAGTTCCTTAAACTGGCATATCTGTGGCCCGGATTAATGCGCCACTGGGCGGCGGTGGAACAGCGGTTGCCTGGCTATACCTGTTGCCTGCAAAGGGCTCGTCCTGCCCGCCGCATCCAGTTGGTGGCCTTCCTGCTGCTCTCACTTTCTCTGAGTTGGGTTTTGTATTTCCTACATCTACGTCCTAACTGATTGACAAATGTAACTCCATGTTTCTGTAGTGGAGCATCTGCTGAGCATAATTTCGGTGGTGTACTACGACTTCTGTCCCCGGAGAAGGGACCCCGTGGAATCGTACTTGCACGGAACCAGTGCCCAGTTGTTCGCCGTGTTTCCCTACTCCAACTGGCTGGGGTGGCTGGGCAAGATACAGAACTTGCTGCTCACATTCGGATGGAGCTACATGGACATATTCCTGATGATGCTGGGCATGGGTCTCAGCGAGATGCTGGCCAGGCTCAACCGCAGCTTGGAGCTGCAGGTGCAACAGGTGGGTATGGACTCTTAAGTACCATCATATAAAGTGTATACCTATAGCCCATGCCGGAAGCTTACTGGACTTGGTCCCGCACTCTCTACCGATCGATAGTGGAGCTCATACGGGAGGTGGACGACGCCGTATCCGGTATTATGCTAATATCGTTCGGCAGCAATCTGTACTTTATCTGCCTCCAGCTGCTGAAGAGCATCAAGTGAGTTATCCGGACAAAAGCACACATTGAAATGAGTACAATAGTCCTGGAATCCAGCACAATGCCCTCCTCGGCCCACGCCGTCTACTTCTACTTCTCGCTGATGTTCCTGCTCAGCCGATCGGCGGCGGTGCTGCTATTCGTCTCGGCGATCAATGACCAAGCCAGGGTGCCACTGCGTCTGATGCGTCTGGTACCGATCGAAGGATACCACCCTGAGGTCTTTCGGTTCGCCGGGGAACTGGCCTGTGATCAGGTGGCGCTCACGGGGCTTAAGTTCTTCAACGTCACCAGGAAGCTGTTTCTGGCGGTGGGTAAAGAGTGATGTTATGTTAAGGGTCGTCCCAAATATCACTGCCACCTGTGTTCCCAGGAACGTCTTCATGCTCATCCCTAAGTTTGTAATTGTATCTTTTAGATGGCGGGAACAGTGGCCACCTACGAACTAGTGCTTATCCAGTTTCACGAGGACAAAAAGTCGTGGGACTGCTCGGCCTCCAACTATAATTAGATATAATTTTATATCCAGGCATGAGTAGTGTTGTCTGGTTTATTATTGCCAGTTATCCGATAAATATCTTAATTTATTAACCAGCAGACCATTCTTCAGTGCAAGTTTGTATCACTCATACGCAGCGTTGCCGTAACTTGAATAAATATGGGCAGTAGTTGAGCAAAGTCCTTTGAATACTAAGTTTTGTAATTTGCTGTGCGATAACTGTGTGCTTTACTTATTTATCTGTAATTCGTCAGTCGCCAGCAATTGCTACAGATGATAGCTATTAAAACACTTTATACACTGTGCTACACAGTTGCGAGGAGTCCGTGGAAGAACCTGTTTTCATCTGCCCACTTTTTTGCACGCGCTTTCCACTTTTCACATCAGTTGGCGGCTGCGGCTGCGTTTTCGTTTTCGTTTTCATTTTCATTTGCGGACCATTTACTTTGGTAATCCAGTATAAGTATGTGATGCAATTGCTGGCCATAAATGGCGCACGCTTCCTAGGCACACCGAAATGCGTGAACCGCTGTTGATTTCAAACTGAACCAGTTGGCCAAATGCCAATGCCGATTGCTCCTAGGCTCCTCAACTCTAGCTCCAGCTCCATGATGCTTCCGGTCAGCGGGTCTAGCCGATCTAGTCCGGTTCCAGCCAATTGTTAACCCAATTCACGAGCGGAGTTCGGGGATCAGATCGCAGATAGGAGTATATAAGGCCCACAATCGGTTCAACGCGCAGACACAAATCGCGCACTGAAGCTCCAGTTAAGACGTTATGGCCAGATATCAGAGTAGCATCCACTGCCTTGGCGGGATCGGGTTCCTAGTGGTCCTGTTCATAGATCAGTTGGCCAGCGGCCAGTTCGTTCCGGGTCCGATTTCTGGGATTCCCAGACAGCAGAGATCTCTTTTCGGTCCGGGACCTCCGCCGGGATGGAGCAGCGGTGGCCTCAGCCACGGCTGGAACGCTCCCAGCTTCGAGTTCAGTCACCTGCCGCCATCCTCCAGTCCGCATGTGACCAAGGACGAGTTGCTGGCCCTGCTGGCCGCCTGGAAGGATGTGGCCGTGAAGCCAACGACCCCGGCGCCGGAGCCAGAGCCCGAAGAGCCGGAACCCGAGCCAGAGACCACAACAGCCCCGCCGGAGGATCAGGATGAACCGGAGCCGGAACCGCCTGCACCAGAAGCGCCAGCTGGCCCACCACCCGGTGTTCCCGTCACCGTATCCCTGCCCGCCTTGGTGCCCATCCAACTGGCAGCCATGTGGCAGCAGCCGGCGCCAGGAGCAGCGGCCGGTGGACTGGGTCCCTTGGGACTGGGAGGCTTGGGTCTGGGGGGTGGAATCGCCTTGAACAATCTTGGCGGTGGTGCGGCTGCAGCAGGAGCTGCTGCAGCTGGAGGCGGAGGAGCAGCGGCAAGATCCGGACTTGCCCGTCCCAGAGCCCGAGCAAGGATCGGAGGGCGTGCGTCTAATGCTCAGCCTGCCATTCGCTTCCCGGTGGCCAATCCGCGCAGCTTCACCTCAAACAACTATGTGGCCCCCAGGCCACGTTACTATCGCGATACGGAGACAATGCGGTGAGTATAAGATCATCAGAACATCAGATTAATAATTCCAAAATAATACTTAAGAAAAGAAGGTTGCATTACATATTTTTTTTACATTCAAGTTCAGAGCATGCTCTTGAATTATTATAATTTCTTGTTCGGAGCCTGTACCATCTAATATTGATATTTTTCTTTCAGCATCAATGTAATGGCCCCTCCGCCTTATCAAATGCCCAATGTTCAAGGGCCGGTTCAGCTTGTGCCCGCATACTGGCAATAGTTCGTTCACCTCTTCAAGTCTTATAATCGTACTGCCAATTCATTATAAGTTAAACTGTACAAAGTTATATGTTATAGTAATACGCTCATGTGCATGTAGAATGTCATGGCCTGTTAACCAGTCGGATTTGTTTTTTTTTATTATTCCAATAAAACATTTTACCAAAAAATAAATATACCATTAATTCATTGGGGCTAACATGAAATCAAGAGTGAGTTTTGGGCCAAAAAGAAATGAAGTCGGAATAAGAAATGTCATACCTATCTTGAGCTCGTAATTAAATTCCCAATCTAGTGCAATTCAAACCTTAAAATTTTAATTCTTGTAAATTTTCGCAAAAAAAAAGAAATTCGAAAATTGCTCAGCAAATTATTATTCCGAAAAGTGATGGGGGTCGTTAGCTGCTCAAAGCCGTCGATCTTTCAACTGTGCGCCCCGGTTTGACCAAGTTATGATTAAAAAACCGCTTAAAATTAATATTTTTTAGAATCTACTTCCAATTTTTAACCTAAAAAAAGTTTTTTCGTTACCATTGTGGAAACTAAGGTCTGGGTATAAGTTGAATGTCTAATATATGGCCCCATTAATTACAATCAAACTCATTGCTTCTAAGTATAAATAAATAGTTTGGCGTCTAAACAGCACACACAAAAGATTGAACAAATCATAAAAACCGATGCATTTTTGACTCCTCAAACCTCTGGCCTCATTTAGCCAATGTTTTTCTCCATTAAAATAAGCACAGCTCTGTAAGCTACTAGCGGCAATATTGAAATAGGCTGTTTATCCCCTAATTAATATACTTTGTACACAGAAATGCAATTTGCTTATATCACTGCACGAATATTGGCAACTTTCGTCACATGCTTGCTGACAGATGTCGGCCCCATAAGCGAATCGGTTATGAATATATATGCTGGTGGTCAAGTCCTTATCGGGACATCGTGTTTGGCCACTGAACATTTTAAAACTAGCTCCGGACGACTCCCGTGGGTATTGTAGACGATGGAATGGCTTCACCCAGTTTGCGTGCGGCCACGCCTCCCGTCCCCCGGGTGTTATGATCCACCGACTGATCCAGATTTCGACATCGCACAAATGAGACATTAAGTAGATGGCGTGGATGGACCAAAACTTGTTTCAATCGCCATCCTTGTGGGCGAAGACGAGCTTAATCAATGCATTCGTAATTGCGCACCCATTTAAACAGATCAGCAAATCAATACAGTTTTTTGGAGTTTACAAATGTATAAAATTGTATTTTTAGGGTTAAACAAAGCTCTAGTAAAACATTTTGTTCCTGGTAAAAGTCAGTTTGTGACACATGGCACCTAGAAACATTAGGTCGATGAACTATTAGGTAATCGGAAAAATAAAAGATTTTTTATAATCATTATGGGACGAGCAAAAGAATAAAGTAGTATAAAATCTATACTAATTGTAACATTTTTATGTGTGTGCGCAGTTATGCGACTCTTGGCAGTTATTTTACATTTCTTTCAATTGGTTTTAAGAAATTAAAAGCCTTAGGAACCCGCACACAATCTTATTTAATTTTTAAGGACGCAGAATTAAATAAATTATATAAATACAGATACGTACATATCTCACAGTAAAAATCAACTAATTCTAGGAAAGTATTATACTATTAAGTAAATAATTTCAGAAAATTACTAAATAATACGTCTTTGGCTAAGAGCAAACTAGATTCTGGATGGGGAGTGTGCCCAACTGGCGACGATGTTTAAAGTCATTTTCACACATTTTCCGCAAATGGAGATTAACGTGTCTGCCACCCGAGATACCGAGGTATCGCTAACCAAAAGCGCCGGCGACAGGCGTAAAAACAATTAATACGTGTAATGTGCGATCGACGCAAATCGAGAGCAACGCCCAATCGGGCCCAGTTTGGACTTCCCGCTAAGAGAGATCCCGATCGGGGCTTATTTACCTCACAACGAGCTGGTTTACGTAAGCTGCCGACCACGACTCCAATCTCGGACTGAATTAACTAACGCAGCAATAATTAACGAATAATAACTTGGAGGACAAAATGTAAACTAGATTTGTGACAGGCGACGCCATAGGATCCAAAGACTTTGGTGGGCAGAGAGCAGGGCAAAGGCACCGGCAATCACAAAAGTCAGCCTGTAGATAGCCGCCTGACAGTACAGTAAAACCACGCCGGCCAGAACGTAAAAAACGAGGGAAAGCATCCAGTATCCCTGACTGCAAGTAAGTTTAAACAATTTTTAAAATTATTAAGCGAGCAATGCATGTATGCGTGTATGCTTACCATTTTTGGGGAGCCCTTAGTTGCAGGAGCAAACTAAGTGATGCCAGGACTACGATGCTGGGATATAAACTCGGATCCGGCAGGTCGATGCCATGCCTAAAAGAAAAAGCAGTTAGGCAACACGAAGATCAGATCGTATATTGTGGTCTTCAAAGACTATACTAGCTATAAGTTATAACTTACCGGCGATTGCGTACCCAGGCCAAACTGCTAGGAGAATTGAGCAGCAGCTGCATGAGCAACATCAGCAGCAAAGTGACATGAAAGGAGAAGTTGTGCAAGCCCACGCAGGGCTCCGGGTCCTCGTCCTCCTCCTGTTGTCCACCCTTCTGTTCCAAAGCTTCCTGTTCGGCATTTTGTTCCTTCGCTGCATCTTCGCAGCTCGAAGGTTCTTCTGCTGCCCCCGCAGCAGGCATTCCACGCACCAAATTAGCCGCCTTCTGCCAGAGAAAGTCTTCCAAATAATCCTTATATGCGTTCGATAGCATCAGGAAATAGAATATGAAGGCCAGGAGAAGACCCACTCCGCTGCAGGTTCCTACAGCTGTGGCAATGGTCAGGATACCGAACGTTATAGGCAAGTGGGTCATGATCGATATCATCACGTTGGAGGTTGGCTGGGAAAGGCGTGTTATCCGCAGAGCCAAGCGGTAGAAGGCGTTGCCATAGAGCGTCAAGGCCAACCAAGTGCCCAGAGTGGCCAGCAGGGACAAGGCAATGGCTGCACAATGGATCACAATGGAGACATTGATACTGTAGTCCAGGGGTTCTGGCTCCGGCAGCATGCTGCTGGTTATGATTAGCTTCTTTAGAAGCCGACAGGCTGATATTTCATTAAACGTATAATAAATGTAAGTGGTAATTACAATAGGTAAAACAAACCTGTGACCACATAGAGCGAGGTGTACTGCATGTAACCCACATAAGGCCGCAGGCTACGAAAAGTTCCAACCTGGTGGAAGGTTTCAACTTGCTTCCTTAGCACAATCAGTAGAACGCAGACCAGGTGTGCCGGCATCCAGCCGTAAAACTCGAGCACCAGTCGAGATAATGCAGAGGAGTAGGAGTACTCATAGCTAGACAACACAAATAAGAGTGAGATAGATGTAGCCAGTGGAAGTAAAAGAGATACAAAATAATACTTTACTTATCTAGTTTTACTTGTACTCTTTTTATGTATAAATGACCATTACGTTTGCGATGCTTACCTGATTCGATAGCGACAAGTGGGATCCAGGTAAAGATCCAGTGTCACAGGATTAAGCGTAGTATTGTAATGCCTGGGCACTAAGGTGGGTACATTTACATACAATTGAGGTTTCTGATCAAAAGATCTGAAAAATTTCAAAAACGCCAGCATTAATACTACATATCGTCAATGAAATAGCCAACTCACTTAAGGGTCTGGAAACGTTCGAAGCCAGCAGCCCAGGGAACACATATCCTGGCTGTCACTCTGTACTCCGAACTGATGCACTGCAGCGGCTCTACAATCACTCGAATGCTCTGGTATGGATCCACCATCTCGGAGATGCGTAGCCGATGATGCAGCGTGCCTTGAAGAGTTTCGTTTATTATAGGCAGTCTTGCCATGGTGTACCAGCGTGGCATCTTGATGTCCGTCACCCGCTCTTGGGGATCGTAGATGTCCAGGTTGTAGCCAATTCGCTTGGTGCTCGGTGGCAGGCGCACTAGCACATGGGTCCACTGCACGTAGGTCTTGCGCAGGTTGTGCAGGTCTAAGATGGCAATGCTACGGGGATCGCGATCTTCGTTGGGCAGTCGCTGGACGAGGTGCATCAGCGAGGTGGCCTTTTCGCTGGACAGAAAGATATATATTCTCATTAATGTGGCTTATTGTTTGGTTATTAGGACACATGTGGAACTTCAATTAAAAAAAATGCAGGTTAGAATTATTATATACGATTCAACGCACCAATATAGCTGTGCCGTCTTATTGTTGTCCAGGGCCGAGCAGCCAAACAACCAGTCTTCATCATCAACATTTAAAGCCTCGATGGCGGTTTTTTTGTATCTCTCCTGACGGAGCAATCCTACTAAATCAAAGAAGGTGCCCTTGAGTCCGTTAGTAAAGTACTTGTTTATCACGAGACGACGCTCCTCGTGCCAGTTTCCAGCGGCTCCGAATCTCTGTGTGCTCTGTTGACGTCTTCGTGGCTTCTGTGAGTATATCTTTAGTATTGGACTGAGATTGGCATTTTAAGGAACCTACGACAAAGGTGGCTAGGGCCGACTGCAGGTTGCGCTGCTTGTTGGTGCCAAATACGATTGATGAGCGATCCTCGCGCACATACGCGATGCTGAAGAGAAAATGATTTATGGTCTGCATAAACTGCAAGCACCACACGGCGGATAAATGGTCGCAGCTCAGACTAACTTTGGGTATAGCCGAGGTCTGGGGGACAAGATACGAAAATATACAAAGATCAGGAAGGCTAAATAATTTTCAACTACCATGGCATGTAAATCGTTAAACCGAGAGCTGGTGAGACCGGGGCGCACCAGCAAATCTCTATTACCGCCTCCCGTGGAAATGAGCAGCACGTTGTCCAGCCGCGCCGAGCTGTCTTGGCTGGCCATTCGCTGCACACTTGGGGGTCGCTGGTGCAGGCTGTCGCACACATTCGTGATCATCGTGGGCACCGTTGCAGTGCGTAGCTTGCTTAGCATAGCGTTCGTCTGGTCGTAAAAATACTCCAGCTCGGCGTCTAGGTTGAGCACCGGCTGATCCAGCGGCGTGGAGATGCTGACAATTGTATTGATGTGCTGACCAATGGCCGGATCAACCAACACCGACTGGGCCAGCTTTCCACCCATTGAGTGGCCAATCAGCACGATGGAGGGCTGCTCCGCGCGCCCCTCGTAGATCGACAGAATAGTGCGGATGCAAAGCTTTAGATAGTTCCGCTGGCGAGGCAGATAGCCCCCGTACAAGGCAGACAACTCCTCGTCGTAGTCAATGGTGTAGTAGTCTAGGTGGATGCCCGCATCGTCCGACATGGCCTTGCGCAGCGCCACGGACGCCAGAGAGCGCACCTGCTTGTACGAACCGGCATTGCCGGGAACGAAAATCACCGGAGCACCTGTCATCCGACGCTTAAGCGGATCCAGCGGCTGTCGCACGCCCTCATAGTAGTAGTAAAGTCCGTAATTTGGATACTGATCGCCATCCTTGACTCCAACTTTCTGCAAACCGAGTATAACCAGCATTTAGTGGCCCTATCTTTCACAGTTCGGTCTTACCGCAAACATTGGCTCGCCAAACATGTAGGTCATCCGGCAAGCATTTGGCTCCACCTCCACGTGCAAATTGAACAGGCCGTAGATAAGGCAGCATATTGAGCCGATCACCAGCAGAACCGCACAGTTTCGGAACATAAACATTCTCGATTTTCAATTTTTCATGTCTGTTTATGCTTGTTGTCCCACCTGTGATAGAGATGAGTGCGGCGCTATTACAATTCGATAGTTTGCGTGAGGAATAGGGGTGGGCAACCGCTAGTTGGTATCGACTATTTGTATAATTTGCTAAAACCATGCAAGAAGAACAGCTAGAATGCTCTCTTCAAAAAGCATACCTTTAATTATTCAAATTGCGTAGTAAAAATAGCAATCTCTAATAGATAGTTACGTCAGATTCTCTAGCGATGAATCGACGATGATGTTGTTACTTTTAAGCCGTGACTTTTCGCGACCCTTTTACGGTTGCCGCAGATGCGCTCATCTCTAGCCACTTGATCGACACACATACATAAGTATGTATCGAGCCGATCCGAGTTGTTGCTTTGGCTAGTTGATTATTCAGTTGGCGTAAGCGTGCGCTCACCTCCGATCCGATCCTCCAGATTCAGATACATGTACATATATCGTACCGGAATTGTCAACAAAAAGGCAGCGGCGCCGGCGTCAGCATCATCGATTCGAATCGAATTTCTAAGTCTGGCCTGTGAGTGTATGCGTGGATGCGTGTGAGCCAGCGCCTTTGTGTGCGCGCGATTAGTTCGCGTACTAAGCTCGGCTTGTGTCTAGCCTGGCGATATTGTTCTTGTTTTTGGTGGGAAGAAAAAGACGGTTTATGCCCTTGCAATAACAAAAACAACGAGAGAGAGAGACATTGTCGCCGAGCAGTTGCTCCGCTGCCGCCGTCGACGTCTGCTGCCGCAGCGAACAGTTCGATCCGCTAGTTGTTGCTGTTTAGTGTTCGTTGTGGTGTCGCTTGTTGTTGCTTTGATCCGTTCCGAATTCGAATCCGCATCCGATTGCGATATAATTCACCCAATACAAATTACTTATAATATTTAGTGCAAAGAGGCGAAATGTCTGTGTGCCAGTAATTGTTGTTTGTTGTAATTGCACCCGCACACAGCCACGAGCACCAGTGCACACGTATATACGTATATACGGGAGCGCATTCCAATCCCTACACACGCACACACAGTTACCATGGAAATTTGGCGCTCGCTCACAGTGGGCACCATCGTGCTTCTGGGCCTCGTCTGCTTCTACACAGTGGAGTCCTGCAACGAGGTCGTCTGCGCCTCCATAGTCTCCAAGTGCATGCTCACCCAGAGCTGCAAGTGCGAGCTGAAGAACTGTTCCTGCTGCAAGGAGTGCCTCAAGTGTCTGGGCAAGAACTACGAGGAGTGCTGCAGCTGTGTGGGTAAGGAAGGTCGTCCGGTGGGATCACCGTTTGGGTGGTGGGAGGTGTCCATATGAATATGTATGTATTTGATCACCAGTGATGTCAACTGGGTATGTGTATGTGTGGGATGGAGGGGGGGATGGGAGGGGGTGAGCTTGCGATGTGCTAACTAGTTATCGATATCAGGCTTGAGCTGGTGATCGGTCTAGGGTTTAAGCATTATAGCGCTGAATAGGAGACAATTTAGACCTGGAGGGTCATATATTGTTTTTCACCACTTATTCATTGCATTAACACAGCAATTGTTTTAACATGGCAATTTTAAACTTGCCATTCATAAAACAAATAATTATACTCACGGCTAATGGGTATTATATAGATGTAATAGCTGCCAGGTATATTTTAGCAATACTCAGGCGCCCTTGAACAATTCTTAAGGACCCACAAAATCCCCAAAAATGTTGAGTACTAGCTGTCATTTACATTTAGTTATGAGCTAGAAAAAACTGTTTATTGATGTAGTAAAAAAGTAAATAATCAAGCTGTAATCATCCTGATCGGATTTTCTTGAAATGCAATTTACATTTGGCCCATTTGATGTTGTTTATAAACAAATCGAGCATGACGATGAAAACAAATGTGCACATGAGATCAGAATATGAAAAGTGTGTCTTTTTTCGAGGAATAAAAATAAATCATATTAATGATCAGATGCACAATAAAAACAAGAATCCGGTCGTAAATATTAGAATGCATAAATAAAGGTTGTTAAAAACTGCTATTTCCATTCGAAAGCATTACACGATTTAGTATGGGCTATAAAAGTTAACACAATTAATTACTTTTTACAATCCTTTCCAATTCCTTATGGGGCAATATCGATCCCTTTTTTTTCCAGAACTCTGTCCAAAACCCAATGACACGCGCAACTCGCTGTCCAAGAAGTCCCACGTAGAAGACTTCGATGGAGTGCCGGAGCTATTTAACGCCGTAGCCACTCCGGATGAGGGCGACAGCTTTGGCTATAACTGGAACGTGTTTACGTTTCAAGTGGACTTTGACAAGTACTTAAAGGGTCCTAAGTTGGAAAAGGACGGTCATTACTTTTTGAGTGAGTGGCGACTCAGGAAGGGTTGATGGTTTCGCATTCCTATAACATTCCGATTTCTTGTAGGAACCAATGATAAAAACCTGGACGAGGCGATTCAGGAGCGGGATAACATAGTGACCGTGAATTGCACGGTTATATATCTGGACCAGTGCGTGTCGTGGAACAAGTGCCGCACCAGCTGCCAAACAACAGGCGCCAGCAGTACGAGGTAAGGAGAAGAACAGATACGGCGAGAACTTTCGTTCATTGGTCAAAATAACAGATGGTTTCACGACGGCTGCTGCGAGTGCGTGGGCTCCACGTGCATCAACTACGGCGTCAACGAGAGCCGCTGTAGGAAGTGTCCGGAGTCGAAGGGCGAGCTGGGCGACGAACTAGACGACGCCATGGAGGAGGAGATGCAGGACTTCGGGGAGAGCATGGGCCCCTTCGACGGACCCGTGAACAACAACTACTGAGCGACGTGCGGGTGCGGTCAAATGCCATTCAACGAACAGAACAGAACCACATCTAACAAATTTAGCTACTCAATTCAGTGACATTATTATTATGTAGTATGAAGTAATATTTGTATAGCACTATTATTATTATTTTATTTACAAAAATCGAATAGGCGCTTTGAATTGTTTTACTTATTGAACCGGCCAAGATATATATATAATACATTTTTTTTAACTTAAATACAAAAAGTAGTTTTTGTTCGTAGTTTCAGCGGGTTTAGGTAATTTATATGCTTTTTAGGCTTTTAAGCTCCGTTTATTATTAATTTTTTTTAATATTTTATAAATATTACATGTTAAAGTACTTCAACTGTTTTAAATGATAGTTCTCATTATTTTCAGTCCATATTTTAACGGTTTTTAGTGTGACCAGTTGAGGCTATCACTGTTGCGTTAAGCGTTTCGGTATTCTGGGCGTATAGAGCCCACTATTTGCGGCAAACCAAATTTCGTGTGTTTTTATTAAAGTTAAATCATCATTATTTGGTTATTTGGGGGTGGCGAGGCACAGAATTTGGGAAGCCGTTTGGCCGTAGTTCAGTATTAACAAGGGCTATCGACTTGATCGGGACCTGTCAACGAAATAGAGTTACGTCGGAGTTACGTAGTCGCACCGCTTCCGTGATTTGGAAATGATGTTGAAGGGCCTGCGGCATGTGCGGAATGTGCTGCAGCGCGGCGGCTCTCAGTTGGCCCAGATCCGCGGTACCACGGGGCAGCCCCAAAGAATTTGTCAGAAGCTATCGCTGCTCCAACTCAGCCGGCGGCAGGTGCTTTGAATGGGTAACTGCAATCCCCCAGAGGTTTAATCATGGTGCTTCCTCCTCCAGGTGATGCAGCTGCAGACGGAGTACAAGGCGATTGTGGGCTTGATAGCCCGCTCACTGCAACTGACCCCCAAGGAGGTCCGACTGATGCACCTGCGCAGCCTGAGCACCGCAGGAAAACCTCCCGCTCCCACGGAGGGCAAGGCGGAAAAGTCGACCAAGGACGGATCCAAGAATGAAGATGATTCCTCCAAGGAAAAGCAAAAGCAAGCTGTCGAGGCGGAGAGCAGTGAGAAGAGCAGCAAAGCTTCCCAAGACGAAGGCTCCAGTAGCCCGAATCCCAGCCCAAGCAGCTCGACCGGCGAACCCGGCGAGGATCCCAACAAAAACAGCAACGAGAATGATGAAAAGATGCGTTCCGTACTGACCAAGGCCGTACTTTGGCTTTTTACCATATACATGTTTGTGGCCTTCTTCTCCTTGCTGATTACCCCGCGTTCCGAGAGACCAGAGGTAAACATGATCTTCATAGTAGTAGTCAATAACCTAATCCTTTCCACCAACCAGGGATCCACGCGCTATGTGTCCTGGAATGAGTTTGTGCACCATATGCTGGCCGTGGGTGAGGTCAAGGAGCTGATCATACGGCCCGACATGGAGATGGTCACCATAATCTTGCACGAGGGTGCGGTCATAAAGGGCAGGAAGGTGTCGTCCACCATCTTTCACATGGCGGTGGCTGACGCCAACAAGTTCGAGGAGAAGCTACGTGAGGTGGAGAAGCGGCTGGGCATCAAGGATGGTGTGCCGGTGACCTACGACCGCCAGACTGACACCACTGGCCGCATCCTCATGCTGCTGCTCGTCTGCGCCCTGCTCGTGTCCATTGCCACCCGCATGAAGAGCATCAAGAGTCCCCTCAGCATGGATTCGTTTGTGGGTAGTGCTCCTTAAGCCAGAGAACCGTGGGTCATAACTGCTTAAATCTTTTCAGAACCAAATGGGCCGCGCCAAGTTCACGCTGGTTGATCCCTTCGACGGCGGCCGCGGCGTGCTCTTTCGTGACGTGGCCGGTCTCAGCGAGGCCAAGCAGGAGGTAAAGGAGTTTGTCGATTACCTTAAGTCCCCGGAGAAGTACCAGCGCCTGGGGGCGAAGGTTCCACGCGGAGCCCTGCTCCTGGGTCCGCCGGGATGCGGCAAGACGCTGCTGGCCAAGGCGGTGGCCACCGAGGCCCAGGTGCCGTTCCTTAGCATGAACGGCTCCGAGTTCATAGAGATGATCGGTGGCCTGGGGGCGGCGCGAGTCCGCGATCTCTTTAAGGAGGGCAAGAAAAGGGCGCCGTGCATTATCTATATCGACGAGATAGACGCCATCGGTCGGCAACGTTCGGGAACGGAGAGCATGGGGCAGGGCAGCTCTGGCGAGTCAGAGCAGACACTTAACCAGCTGCTGGTCGAGATGGACGGCATGGCCACCAAGGAGGGTGTGCTCATGCTGGCCAGCACGAATCGGGCGGATATCCTAGACAAGGTACGACATTTACCATGATTCATTTAATTCAACATCCCAACGGTTATTTTTATATTTTGAAGGCCCTTCTGCGACCCGGTCGCTTTGATCGCCATATCCTCATAGATTTGCCTACGCTGGCGGAACGCAAGGAGATCTTCGAGAAACACTTGTCGTCGGTGAAATTGGAGTCGCCGCCCACGACCTTTTCGCAGCGACTGGCACGGCTGACACCGGGTTTCTCAGGTGCTGACATCGCAAACGTATGCAATGAGGCTGCTCTGCATGCAGCCCGAAATACCCAAAAGGAGGTCAGCAGCAAGAACCTAGAGTATGCTGTGGAGCGACTAGTTGGTAAGTTGATCTGCAGATTGCACAATACTTTTAGAGTGCTATTCAAGTATTCAACTCCCAACTCCTTTAGGCGGCACTGAGAAGCGTTCGCACGCTTTGTCGCTGGCGGAGCGCAAAGTGATCGCGTATCACGAATCCGGACACGCTCTGGTGGGCTGGATGTTGCCCAACTCGGACATTTTGCTCAAAGTGACCATTGTGCCGCGCACCAGTTTGGCGCTGGGATTCGCCCAATACACCCCTAGCGAACAGCATTTGTACAGCAAGGAGGAGCTGTTCGACAAGATGTGCATGGCGCTGGGCGGTCGTGCAGCCGAGAATCTTATATTCAATCGCATAACGACGGGCGCCCAGAATGACCTGGAAAAGGTGACGAAGATTGCATACTCGCAGATCAAGAAGTTCGGCATGAACGAGACCCTGGGACCCATCTACGTCCGGGACGCGGATGAGACGGAGGGCGGTGGTGCTATGGGCAGCGGTGGCAAAAAGCCATTCTCGCGGGCTATGGAAAGCATGATCGACAACGAGGCGCGGCATGTGGTGGCCAGCGCCTACCAAACCACAGAAGGGATACTCGCTTTGCATCGCGATAAGCTGGAAAAGGTTAGTTGGTACTGCTTTCTTACTTTATATCGTTTCCCAAAGAAATTATTGGAATTTCTTAAAAAAATCTTAAAATCATAAAGCCTATGCGTGATAAACTTGTATAAAGTAATTGATTTGTTTGTAAATCATGTCAATTAACGATATTTTATGTTATAGGCGTGTTTCTAAAACCTCGCAGTATAAAGATAATTTACTTAAGATTTGATTGAGATTCTACAGTGTAAATTATAAAAAGCGTATAATGAATATGCTTGATTATAGTTAATCAATATCTATGAAACTAGTTATTTTAGCTCATTGTAATTCGCTTACGCTTATTGTTTTTTTTTCAAATCGGATATGCTTCCGTTTTGTAAGAATATCCTATGACGCACGAACGTTCCCATTTATCACCATCTATTTCAGCTGGCTGAAGCTCTGCTTGAGAAGGAAACACTGGACTACGACCAGGTGGTGGAACTGATTGGACCGCCGCCGTACGATCTAGGAAAGCGGCAAGTGGATGGTGTGGATTTCGAGCAGTCACTAAAGAACCTGGGCAGCGACACGGACGCCACGAAAGCCTGAGGCTTTGATTATAACTCAAATTCAGAGTCATAGTCCCAGAGTCACAGTCATTCATCATACGCCACGTGCCCCGAGTCGCTCACCTTTCCGCCCGCCCCTGGTTCATGTTCGTTGAATGTAAATAAAGTTGTTTACCTTTTAAATGATTCCAAGCCGTGTTCATTATCTAATTGCCCGCTAATAAGCCGCGTCTCGTCGGGCAACCCGATTTTGAACTACCTAACGGATAATACAATCCAACTCTAGTAATGATTACCGTTCGAATGAATGAATGAATATGACTGTGACTTTGAGCTGGAAAACAAATTGTTATGTATTTTTTTGTTGAGCTGAAAGCAATATATTAAAATCTTTTTAGAACGAATATTGTTTGTACGAAATTTTATGTAGCTAAACAAACATGGGATCGTGCATAATTTTCAAGACAAAGTAAACCTAATAACAAATGTTGATGAGCAAAATTCGTTTCATATAGTTTGTCTTAGCAAAGCTAAATTGCGGGTCTCATTGAAGATCCATCATTATTATTTCCTGATTTTTCGAAATACTTTTGTACATAATACCCGTCGTTGATCAGGGTGTTGCGTAATCAGCGTCATCACACCGACACGGCAGGAGATCAAAGTTTAATTCCACACTGACCTAGAACCTGACGCGCACTGTCAATTGGCTGAGCATACACAATCACCCGGTGACCGTACCGATGGTCACCTGATGACAGCCGGAACCCGCTGATCCACTCCATATCCATGTCCAAATCGGTCGAGGGATACATATTTTAAATATTTTTGAAAGCTCATAGAAGAACAATTAAAAAAATTAAATAACATTTGGCATATTTTACTAAATATCTTTATCTATTCAACAAAGAGTTTTACTGGCAGATATCACCGAAGATACATTCGAAAACGTTGTTTTAACGAGACTATTATTGGTGGATCGGAGTTACGTAAATATCAGGGTCTACCACATTTATGTATATTTGCCTTTATGGGTGCAATTCTAAATTGAACTGAGATGATAGAATCTCTATAGATGGAGAAGAGAAACCAGTTCTCCATTGCAAACCAAGTTGAGAATCATTTAGTTTTCACTCATATTCAATTGAATTCGATTTATGACCCGAATGCTGTTTAAACTTTTCTCATTTTAATACCGACATGTTATTTACTTCAGTTACCTACCTAAGTTTTAATTAATAAATAAGTTGTGCATAAATATGCAAAAAAACATAAATGGTACTCAGCTAATTTGCATTTCTTGAATTTGATTGAATTGTTACCAATTATGTATGTAAACCAAATAATAAACATAATTCCTTGTCAAGACATGGAATAATAAGTTATTCAAACGAATCTAAAATCAAAGTTTGAACAAATATAGTTTTTTGATAAAATTCGCCGATTTTCCAACTCGGTCAAATAAAAATACTAAATTAAATATTTAAATAGGTTTTATACCGGTACGATCGGGTTTAGGAACACTTAATTTGATCTGGTCCCAGAATCGCACTAAAACTTGCACTCGGCTTCTAGAGGATGCATAAATAGGCCCGGCTTTGGGTTGGAGGGTGTCAGTTGTCGCTCAGCTAAATCGGTAAGCAGAAATCGGATTACGGAGAAAATGCAGTTAACCGGTGTCTCGGTATTATTGTTATGGATCGGTGTACTGTGCCTGGTTCCTAATAGTGTCTCCGATTTATTCCGTGAGTGTCCAAACGTTTAATAAGTTTTTTAGTCAATGCAATTTTTACAAAGCATCTAGTTTTTATTAAAGCATTAATAAGTCTAGGAGTCTGTAGTATATTACTTTTAATCTGCAGCAAAATTACCATGACTATTTAAAGAAAGTTTTATTTGTATTTTTGGGAAATACCACAGCATCGCCCCTGAAACGGTGCAAGGTGGAGGATGAGTCGTGCCACGTGACGCAGGCGCAGACCTTTTTGGATGCCTTTAAGAAGGGCATTTCAGGACGGCAGGTGCCCGGTCTGGAGCCCATTTATCTGGGAACATTGCGCGTCGAGAGTGGGGGCCACTCGGAGTCCCTGCAGTTTAAGTTGGTCATGAGCGATGCCAAGCTCTACAACCTGGCTAATTCCGCGGTGGTAAAGAGCATGAAAGGCTTCTCCAAGGACCTTACAAAGCCGCTCAAGCTAACGATGGTCATGGATGCACCGGAGCTGGTGGTGCGGGCGAAGTACGATGTTAACGGCAAACTCCTCATCCTGCCCATTGTTAGCAAGGGCGATTTAACCATTCGGCTAAACGAGGTCCAGACCAAGTCGAGGGTTATGGTGGAGCCCGTAAGGCGGTCCGACGGCCATACATATCTTAACATCACCGATTACAAGACGATCACCAAGATCAAGGGGTGAGTAAATAGAAGCATTATAGAGATTTTTGATTCCAAGTACCAGGCGAACAGAAGTTGAAATAGACGACTGAGTAAAGTTAATTGTTTAAAAATTATACATTTCCATTCATAGTGGCCACTTTGACATGACGAACCTGTTCAACGACAACGTGGAGCTTCGGGAGAGCACCTTGAAAGTTCTAAACCAGGAGTGGAATACCCTGGCTCTCGATGTCCAACCGAAACTCAACGAGGCCTGTTCCAAGGCCTTTAGATCCATATTGCAAAATTTGTGGAAAAATATACCTTATGACGAGTTCTTTGAGATGGAATAAGCAATAAGCACAAATATATCCAAGATAATAGTATACTATTTTTATACCCGTTACTCGTAGAGTTAAAGGGTATACTAGATTCGTCGGAAAGTATGTAGCAGGTAGAAGGAAGCATTTCCGACCCCATAAAGTGTATATATGATTGATCTGGATCACTAGCCGAGTCGATCTAGCCATGTTCGTCTGTCCGTATAAACGCTGAGATCTCGGAAACTATAAGAGCTAGACTGTTAGGATAGCAAGTTTGTTTCAGCAGGGTGGCACGTCCACTATAACGCCCACATTCGCCCATAACGCTACAACTAGCGTGTAGCGCTCACATTTTAAATTATTGTGTAAACATTTACATGAGACTTTGTTCTAATTATCAACACCCATACTCCAAAAATTATTCAAATCGGACCATTTATAAAAAAGTTATAACCAAACAATAATTAATAATTAGCAAACTCAATAGAGTGCAAGAGAAATGGAGATACATTTATACCGAAAATCGGCAACTTACGAAGTTTCACTACCGCCAGTGAAATTTCGTAAACAGTCGATAGGAATGAACGATATGTGGCGCTTTTTTGTTAGCTGAGTAACGGGTATCTCATAGTCGAGACCGTCGACTATAGCGTTTTCTCTTGTTACATTTTAAAATATTATTTCACTCATAAAACAAGTAGGTATAACAAAATAAAGTACATACATATCTATTAAATGACCAATTACTACTTTTGGGGAGATACATTTAAATTAGCCCATTTTGTAGTTACTTATATGTAAATATACCTTATCAACTTCACCAAAGTATACAAATCGCACAGCATAAGTGCCGGAAACGTCTGTTTGAAATAAATAAAGCAGCGATTGGTTTTTGCAATTTATTACACAAACGAATTATAAATAAAAATGTCTTAAAAACTAGAAAAAGTAAAGTATTTAACGCTCAGATGCATTTTTTGAAGAATTTTAATTTTCGACACATGTAATATTTCTGAATTGAGATCTATGTAATTTGCAAGTCCAGCCGGTTCGGTATTATTAAGAAATCTTCACCAGTTCATCTTGCTGTCTTCGTTGCTTCAATAAGATTCAGAATAGTTGATATCCTACGGATATGTTCGTAAATTCGGAGAACTTAAAGGGAAACTCAGGATTAGCTGTGACACCAGGTCAGGTGATTAAAACTGCTCACTCTTTTCTAGGATTCCTGCTTGTCCTCTGTGATTGCTGCTCGGTTCGTCCTAGGGATCGACATTGTGCACTCGATTGTGTACGTCGGTCAGCAGCAACTGAGGGTTTGGCTACTACCCATCCCCATGCTGCGTCTGGTCCTCCTCGGGGTGTTCCATGATCTTGCTCTCCGAATTGGTGATGCTCTGTTGACATTAGAAGTGTGGCTTTAGGAATCAAATAACTCTAAAGATTTTTGAAAAACCCCAAAGATATTTGTAAGACTGTTGGGACCTAAGTAAATACCTTTAGTTTACGATGCTTGGGGTCCTTTTCGGTGTCCGGCGGACTCTCCGATCCATCCGTGGTCTTGATGAAGGATGAGTAGAACGAGGAGAAGCTGGAGCCATCCATGTCATCGCTGTTCCCATTGCTGTCCGTGTATTTCTGTGGATAAGTAGGTGTTGTTATAATGTGTGTAGTCAACTTCCAATGACCTATTATGATCATTAAAATTACAAATTTTCCTCGTTATATTTTATCCATAATTACCTTGTTGTTGGTGGGATTACTGCTGCAGGGAGGGGAGTTGTAGTCCCCCATCACGGAGGGAATGGAAGAAGAGTCGGGCACCTCCTTCTTGCAGGGATCCGACACAGTCACATTGGAACCCGGCTCTGCCTTGACGGAGGTGGTCTGTGAGGAGGGCCGTTGCACCTGGGCGGTGGTGGTGACCGAGTGGAACGCCCCAGGTACCTTCTTCGTCATTGACGCTGGCGTGGCCTGCGGGGAAATTGGGAGAAGGTTAGTTATCCAAACGTCTGAATCAGACCCGGCCAGAAAGGGAAGCACTCAGAATGCTCGTCTGGAACTAGCCCATCCGCTCACTCACTGTGTACACCGTTTTGTTGTAGGCTGACTGAGACCCCAACGGCCGCTCCGGTATCTGTAGGGCATTGGCCATCCCGGGGAAGGGCATCGGTTGGTACATCATGGCCGTGGCGGCCGCCGCCGCTGGATGTGTATAGAAGAGGGAGGGATGTGGATACATCACGCCAGCCATGTACTGAAGCGGCATGGCCTGCGCGGCCGCTGCTGCTGCCTGCTGCGAGGTGGTGGGCAGCTCCACGCCACTCTTGTGCGGGTGCTTGTGGATCCTAGGGGAGCGTGTGGGACTAGTGGGCGTTAAGGAGGCGGGGATGTAGTAGAACGTTGGGAAGAGGCCGGCGGAGGAGAAGCTGCTCTGGGCCATCGCAGTGTGCGTGGAGTGGACGGGCGGGGTGATGCCCACCGAGAATGGCGGCCAGAGGTTGATGTTCTGGGTGCAGGAGGGATACGAGGAGGGTCCTGGCGTGGAGCTGCCCACCGAGGAGGTGGCTCCGGCCGCCCCTCCTGTTCCTCCCCCTCCTCCTGGGGTTCCTGCTCCCGATGTTGTCGTGGTCCTGCCGTCTTGTGTTCCCACTATACCTGGCCCGGTTCCTCCTCCGCCTGCCACACCTGCTCCCCCTGACCCCACCCCACCAGATCCCGCGGCTGCTCCCCCGCTTCCTGGCGCCCCTTTGACCGCATCCGTTCCCAAGGCCATCTGCTGCTTGGGTTTGTTCGCCTCTCCCTCCCACGAGTGGGAACCGCCCCTTTTTATCCCGTGTCCTGGGCCACTGTACTCCAGCATCTTGAGGGTGTCGTTTGTGGACTTCTTGCTCTTTTCACCAGAGCGTCCTCGCGACTCGCGGTGTTTCTTCAGCATAAACTTTTCCATTTCGTCGTTGTGCTTGTTGAGCAGCGATTCGGTAAGCGTAATGGGCGGTGTGGCGGCGCCTCCGCCTCTGGAGGAGCTGGTCGTGCCGGTTCCTGTTCCAGTTCTCGTACCGGTTCCTGTTCCTGTTCCTGTCCCAGTTCCAGTACCTGTGCCCGTTCCTGTGCCCGTGCCCGTTCCGCCCGTGCCCGCAATGCTCGTATTGGTCACACTGCTCATATGGATATTACTGGCGGTGGTGAAGTTGCCCGAGGAGCCACTGCCCCCACTACCCTCGTGCACGGGACTCATCGGTCCACTGGCCCCACTGACACAGGTGCCCCGCGGCTCCGGCGGCTCCGTCTTGGGCGGATCGAGCTCCGCCGGCGCCGTGACCGGCTTGCTGTTGAAAAAACGCAGCAGGTTCTCGTTATAGTTTAGCTGGTTGTAGCTGGGCGGCGTCTCTGTGGAGCTCTTACTGTCATAGTAGTCATGGTGCGGCGAGATCTCGCCGAGCATCACGCTGTCCCGCTCCGAGACGGTCAGCTCGTTCTCGTGCGGAAGCTCCAGCTTGAGGTCAGCCCGGGACACCTCGTCCATAAGAGTCTCCATGAAGCTGGCGAGTGCCTGGCAGCGACGGGAGACCTCCTGTTTGACCGTATCCGAAGGGCGGGACACGGTCTCCGCCAGGCGCTTCACGATGTCCTCCTTGATTCGCGTGTTCCGGCTCTGGGCCTCCTCCGATATCTTGAGCTTGCATGTGGGCGCCGCTTCGAAGACATTGCACTGTTTGGGTCCTGGGGATGTTCAAATTCAACATTTTATTAAATCTGTCAAGGTTTGGTTGGGGATTGAGATAATGGGAAGGAACGGCGGACTCACCCTGGAAGACTCGATGATGTCCGACCACGAACTCCAGCTTGCGGGACCACGGATTCACGAAGCTGGTCCACTCGGTCTCCAAGAGTACGTAGCACCCGTTCTGGATGAGAAAGCGGTACGGCTTGCTGCAGAAGGAAGCGCCAGCCGTCTGGCCCTTCTTCATAACCGTCTCGTAGGTCTCCTTCATAACGGTGAGGTCCTCGTGGTGGTAGAAGTCCATAATGCTGCGTCCTATCAAGTCCTGTGGCAGATAGCCCAGCGCACTCACCGCCGCACTGTCCACATGCGAAATAATACCGGTGGCCGTGTGGCGGATGGCGAACTTGGGGCTCTTCTGGGAGAGGATCTCGTCGGGAACTAGGAACGAATTGTGAAAGTATGGTAAGTCACACCATCTAAATCTGTTTCTCTTGTTTTAAACCATTTTTGCTGAGACTTACCCTTGTAGCTGCTCTTGATCGGAGTGGCGCAAATGACGAGCAGCATGTTGGTGCCATTGGAGACCATGTAGTTGTCGGGTCGCGCCTCCTCCGGGGCCTCTCTGAAGGTGAGACCCAGCCGAAAGGGTTCGTAGCTGACCGGTCGCCCGATCACTCCGAATCCACCGGACTTCAATCCTCGATAGCGTCGCAGCATCACGCAGAACGTGCTCTTGGCATCCTTTGGCATACTGCCCCGGGATTCGGCGATAGGTATGCCCGTGGTTATTTGACTGGCGAACGTGGCCCGATCCTTGAGATGCACAAAGTCGATGAAGGATCTACCCAGCCACATGTCGCGTGGAAAGCCCAGGACATCGGTGATGCTAGGCGTGGTGTACAGGACAATGCCGTCGTGCATGGATATTACGCAGCAAAAGCTGTCCTCCTTGACCCGCTCCCCTCGCTGCCCACCGGCTGCTCCAGCACCTACTCCCGTCATGGACTCCAGTTTTCCCGGGGCCGATTCCCAGGTCTTCTCGAATTTCGCCAGGCTGCTGTCCAGACCGGAGGCGTGACCCACTCCGCCGCAACCGCCCACTCCGCCGCCCATTGAAGGCGGAACTATGGTCACGGACAGCGGCGAGGGGATGGGAAAGCTCTGGGCCTCCGACTTGGCTACGCCCTCGCCCCGATCCGCTTCCGACTCGGATCCGGACTGATCCTCCTCCTCCTCCTGCTGCAGCTGCTCTGTGGCCTCGGGCTCGTTGCCATCCTCGCCGTGCTGCTGGTCCTGCAAAGTCTGCTCGTCTCCGCATCCACTGCCACTGGGCCGCGGCTTCTCCTCCGCTCCCTCCAGGGATGTTGCCGCCGAGATCAGGGACTGTACCTGCGTCTGCCCCGCCCCTTTGTTCTTCTTCTTCTTGCGCGACTTGTCCTTGTTCCGCTTGATGATCATGTCGCTACTGCTCGCCTGCGTCGAGGGCTTACCGCCATAGCCACTGCTGCCGGAGGAGTGGCTTCCGCTTAGGCGGGACTTGGAGCTGCCACTGCAATAGTGAAGGGGTTGAAAAATAACCGTTTGTAGGGTGGCCAAGGCCCATTCAGTCCGCCAAAATATTTGTGTACCCTTATCTCGGAAGGCATTGACTTAAGTACATACATAGAAAATAAAACCCTAGAGATGTTTAATATTAGTTGCATACTTTCTGGGTGTTACAGTTTAGCTTAATACAGCTAAACTAAAATACTTTTGACTCTTGAGTCTAGTGCTAATTTGAAAAGTAACGAATTCATAAGATAAAGAAATCGAAAGTGTCACCCCCCTCATTTTGTATTTTACTTTTTATCGAATCAAAGTGCTGCCACCCTTTCTACAAAACAACAGTTATAACCAAGCGTTGAAGGAGAAGCGCACGAAATCTTGTTGTGGCCAAATATATTAAATTAACTTAATAAACAGCCAAATGCTCAATTCAATATGTGCAAAACTAGATAAGTGGTTCTGGTTACCGCGGTGGTTTGTCCCCGCCACCATTCGTGTTCTAGCCCCACATCCTGACTGGGAAACAGGTGGGTGCTCCCACAACAGCTATCAAATAGCAACGTCATTGCAGTGTGTGTGCAGACTTTTGGAGGACTTACCTGCGCTGCGACTGACTGTTGCTGCAGCTGTTTGAATACGCCGAGTCGGACACCTTGGTGTTGTGTGTGGACTCCGTGGACTCGCCGCCCTCCATGTTGTTTAAATTATCCAGTTTGCCGGTTTACGTGGAGGCAACGTTGGTGTTGCGAGATGTCTGAAAATCGTAAGGTAACCATTTATACATGATTTGTATTTAAGCTTATGTGTCCTAAATATGTATGTTCTAACTTTAATAACTTAAACCATTTAAATCTGCTAACACCCACTTCCGAAGCAGTCGTTTCATTCCATTGCGCCCCTACCAAACTTTAACTTTCGCTCTGTTTGGTAACCAATTAGTTTTCCGTGTAAAAGGATTTGTAAAATTCGAAATGTTTCAACAAGTTGCCCAACCGCATTGCAGAATCGACTTCTACTTTCATTCAAAACAAAGTCGCTGCATGAATGTGAATCGTTTGTATTGTGAAATAGTTTCACTTCGGCCGAGTGACGAAATGAACCACAGATTTGTTGCGGCATTGTGTTACGACTCACAAAAATCGGGCTTCTGTGGCGATTGCAGCTTTCTTTCAATCAATCAATTCGTTGTCGGCCCTCATCAAAATACTTGCGTATGCATATATTTGATTTTATTCACGTTGTTTGCCTTTATTTCCTTCAACTCGTTCGAGAATCTCAAGAAGTAACTTATTTGGTTTGGCATTAGCTGTGAGTAAACAACGTTTGAGCTTTCTTAAATGTATAAGTAAGGAAAATAAGTTATAAACTGATGTTAAAATCTGTCTTGATGTGGCCTGAACACGCTGGTCATTATCATACATTAAGCCAATTCTCACATTTATTAACGCGTTATTAATGGCATATTAAATAATTTTTTTGTAACGAAATCGGAAAACAGTATATACTGCTTACATTATAATTTTGAAAAAGATGTTATGTTCAACTAAAAGTGGATTTTAAACTAAGAAGAAGTATACTGTAAGTTAATCATAAGGACGAATTAGCTTGTTAAGTTGAAACTCAGTTACGACCAGTTATAATCAGCTACTATTTTTTAAAAATGTTCGAGCACTCGGATGTTCCTAAATATCAAAACCATTCGTACTTGCTGGTAAAAAGGTTTCACTATGGTAATTAAGGACGGTGTGGCAGGGAGGAGGAAAAATGTTGCATTCACGTGCAGCTGCAGGCGTTGTTTGTAGTGCTTTCGTTGTTCCCGACAACGGATGCCGTTATGCAGTCGCAATGCACTTAGCTGTTGAATCGCAAATACAAATACCTTCAAACACACCCACACCCAAACACAGATAGATTGATGCACAGCTAAAAGATACATCTTCTGGGAGACGCATAAGTTGCATACCCCTTTTCAGAGCAGTTTTGAATTTTGCTGACTTGTTAAACATTCTAGCAAGAAAAATGTCCCATAACCAACAAATTATTTCGTAAGCGTTTATATACGTAATACCGAAAACATTTTATGGAGTTCACTTACAAAGATTACGTAAGTTTGGGTTTAATTTCCCCAATTTGCCGCAATCAGCAAGCCCAAAAAATACTTGTATAAGCACTAAAAACGCAAAGCATTGTATGAGCGTTAGGGTGGACCCCAGATTTATCGAATAGATTATCTTTAGAATCTCCTACATACTGTTTATTTTGCACTGGGCTCTTGAATTTTCAGCTGTAACTAAATACGGATTTTAAGCTACATTTGATTGTTGAATGTTACATGTTGCACACTGAATTCCAAGAACTAAAAAAAACGTATGAAATAAAATTTGCTGACTAAAACAAAAAATTCAAAATGTTCTATTCAATGTTATAAAATCTAATCGATTAATTACGTTAAAATGTTTCATCTTTAATGAAGTACAGACTGAAAAAAGCTTAAACAAATTAACTAATTGGTCCTAACTATCGACACTTTAAGAGCCTTAACTTCAATTAAAAAGAAAACTCTTAAACGTTAAGCTATAAACCACTTCGTCGAGCCTCCAAATTGTATAATTCAACAGATAACCCAGTTTACAACGTATACGTCAGTAAACTTTGACGCAGTTTCGTGAAACGCTAACAAATCAAAAAGGGGCCAACTGGTCGAGTCCTTGCAGGAGGCTTGGATTGCGGGATTACATTTGGTCGTGCGTCACTCGCGAGGATGTTAGATAATGCAGTGAAGAAAGCGCGGCAGACGGTGGATAACAGTTCCATAACCGAGGAGTAGGGGTTGTCAGTTATAGGTTTGCGTTGTGGGAAAATACAATGCACAAAGGGGGAGGGCGAGCTATTAATGTTTTTCGGTTTCACTTGTATAACATGTCTGGGGCTCTACATATCTGTTTAACATAAATATTTATTTATCGTGAATAAATGGGACCACGTGGCGTATGCGAACTGGATGAGCTGCAATAAGCTGCATTTTCACACCAATTTTCATTCAAGAATAGTTGCTCAATAATTTACCTATGATTGGGCATATTCGTTTATATTATTTTACATGCTAAGTTTTTATATACAACAAGAACGAATCTTGGGCCCACTCTACGTATGCGTAATATCCTGTAACCCACAATAGTTACATATATGACTTCCCATTGTTACGTGTGGGGAAATGACTTAGTTGCAAGCCAGTCAATGCAAGCAAATTTTTTTTTACTGATGCGCATATGTGCACTTTTAGGCCAATTGGTTTAACGTTTTCCCAATGCAACATGTTTGGAAAACAAAACGCTAGTCTTAATTTGTATTTATATTTATCCGAAAGTATCGTTCAGTAGGGTCAGGTATGTGTTTGTAGCTTTTGTTTACGCTACAATTGATTACAATTTTTAGCGCTTTGTGCAACGTGCACTGTGCGGTCGGCACTTATTAATAAACAATATATATGTACGCCATAGAGGCGTTATGAACCAAGTTCTTTATGTAAGTTGGGCCCGAGTTGTTTTTTTTTGCAATATGATAATGGGTCTCTCTCCGGCCTGTTGCTATTTTGTGTTTTTTATTGCAACAACGTGACAATTGCACTTACACTCTCGCTGGCTCTCCCTGATGCACTCTTGAGAGTATGAGATAGGTTTATATCAAGTTTTCGGCTTTATTTCTCACTTTTGAAACCGATTTTAATTCAGCTCCGGCACTCTCACTGTCTCCAAATAAATGAAACGTATTGTTTATAGGAAAAAATGTGTCTTGCGTGGTTCTAGAGGACGTTGTTTCGATTTTTGAAATATTACGATTGACGGCAACCGCGTTAGTCGACCTTCTGGCTTTAAGTCCGCACGAATACTAGCTGTGGCCCGCAAGCTCCGATATGTGTATATGCCGTCGTATATTCGCATTCTGAGAATTTTCTCACACTCAATCGCTGCTCTCCGCTGTCGCTGAGAATCGGAAGAATCGTGCTCGCTCGGGAATCGGATGATATACTCGGATTCTTCTGACATTAACCCTTGAGCGGAGCTTTTGTAAACCCTTTAACTAAATAAGCTTAAAAAAGTTGTTTGAAAAGTTGAAATTATAAATACATTTGCTGTTGAAGTTTTATTTTCAGAAAAAACTTTTTTTTACCCATGTCATATGCGCTTTATTAATTTATATGATTTTCTTCTAACTTAAAGCCTTAACGCAGAGAACACACTTTACAAATTACAAGGAATTACAAAAGGACAATACAATCATATATGCACATTTCTTTCAGTTTGAATTTAATTTTTTGTTTGTTTATATGTATTTTATATTTGGAACTTCCGAACTCATTAAATTTAAAACCAGACCCCGCGTACTAACTTGAGGTTAAGGAAAGCTACGGAATCCGTTGTCTTTTTGGGGGTGGTTGGGTGGCGTCGGGTGGCCGCCGGCGGGCTGGCAGCACGTTTTCTGGGCGGTGTTTTCCGAGGGGTGCCTGGGCGGACGATTTGCGGGTCAAGTCACGCAATTCGCCACGTGAGCGTCGGCTTTTCACTGCCTACGGCTTTCATGGGACGCTTTTTGCACTCGGGCCTGCCCCACGGTGGCTTTTGCATGCAGGCACTGACATTTCGCAACGCATTACTCACCCACAATCTTTCATCTATCGCCAGTTCGCGTACAGACACAAATGAAAGTGGCGCCAAGCTTTTGGCCCCCAATCCCTCTGTTTGCCCCTCGGAAGCTTTACCTGGGCAGGTGTGCTCTGTGGCACGTACTGATTGAAATGCCAGCGACAGCTGATTTTCCTTTGCTTTTCCATCTCCGCCCACCTGGCTATCGATTGCCGATGGGTATTGGGTTTAGAAGGCAGCAAGCGCGTGTTGTAGCCAACAGGTGGCGTCACACATCAGCAACAAGGGATTCCCCGTAGTCGTAAGGGCGTTGAACTCTATGTGGGGGAGTGACTGGATTTTGAGGCCAGGCTTTTCTTGAGTATATCACACGAGGAGGTAATCTTTCTTTCCTGCAATAAAATAGGACTTAGTTGGTGTTATTCGCTAGGTGGGGCTAGGTGGCGCAAGCCACAAGCAAGAATATCTCCATCTCTTTTTCACTCTCTTCAGCTGAGTAACTGGTATTTGATAGTCGATGACATCGACTTTATTACGTATACGTATAGATAAATTTATAGCTAACATTTAACCCAAAAAAAAGAAACGATCTTTAAATAACAGTGAACAACTACAGAACTGTCCCTTAAACAATCGGCCTTCTTAGAATGAAAAGGCTAAAAGGTAAAGGCGATATAAGCTGAGTAAGACCAGATAAATTATTTGGAAAAAAAATGTTATTGCCGATTTTCTAAAATGTAGGTTCAATTTTATTTTGAGTGTAGCGGGCCAAATTGTTATAGCCATCTTTGATTTAGTCAGCGACCACGATGACTTGGCGATTAGTTAAACATGCAAGCAAACATCTTACCCCTGAAACGAGAAAAACCCTTGAAATAGACTTCAAGAAATTTTTTCCAGTACATTGTGCACTCAACGTAAAATTAACCCTAAAGTCAAGGAAATCGCCTTATTTTTGTCTTCAAGACAAGCTCGCCATAAATTTTAGTAATCTTAGTAAGATAATTCCGAAATACTAGGGTAATTATACCCGTTACTCGTAGAGTGAAAGGGTATACTAGATTCGTCGGAAAGTATGTAACAGGCAGAAGGAAGCGTTTCCGACCCCATAAAGTATATATATTC